CTGCTGCTGCTGCTAAATCGCTTCAGTCATGTCTGACTCTTTGTGACCCCATAGACGGCAGCCTACCAGGCTCCTCCATCCATGGGATTTTCCAGGCAAGAGTATTGAAGTGGGGTGCCATTGCCTTCTCCCAAAGGAAAGATATATCTATTTAAGTGCAGAGTTCCAAAGAATAGCAAGAGTGATAAGAAAACCTTCCTAAGTAATCAATGCAAAGAAATAGAGGAAAACAATAAAATGGGAAAAACTAGAGATCTCTTCAAAAAAATAACAGATACCAAGGGAACATTTCATCCAAAGAAGGGCACAATAAAGGACAGAAATGGTATGGACCTAAGCAGAAGCAGAAGACATTAAGAAGAGGTGGCAAGAATACACAGAAGAACTATACAAAAAAGATCTTAATGACCCAGATAAACAGCATGGTGTGATCACTCACCTAGAGCCAGACATCCTGGAACAGGAAGTCAAGTGGGCCTTAGGAAGCATCTCTATGAACAAAGCTAGTGGAGGTGAGGGAATTCCAGCTCAACTATTTCAAATCCTGAAAGAAGATACTATTAATGTGCTGCACTCAATATGCCAGCAAATTTGGAAAACTCAGCAGTGGCCACAGGACTGGAAAAGGGCAGTTTTCATTCCAATTCCAAAAAAAAAGGCAATGCCAAATAATGCTCAAACTACCACACAATTGCACTCATTTCACATGCTAGCAAAATAATGCTCAAAATTCTCCAAGTTTGGCTTCAACAGTACATGAACCAATCCAGATGTTCAGACTAGATTTAGAAAAGGCAGAGGAACTAGTGATCAAATTGCCAACCAAATTGTCAAATTGCCAATTTTGGATCATAGAAACAGCTAGAGAATTCCAGAAAAACATTCTACTTCTGCTTTATTGACTACAACAAAGCCTTTGACTGTGTGAATCAAAACAAACTGGAAAATTTTTAAAGAGATGGGAATACCAGACCACCTGACCTGCCTCCTGAGAAATCTGCATGCAGGTCAAAGAGCAACAGTTAGAACCAGACATGGAACAACAGACTGGTTCCAAATTGGGAAAGGAGTACATCACAGATGTATATTGTCACCCTGCTTATTTAACTTGTTACAGAGTACATCATGAGAAACACTGGGCTGGATGAAACACAAGCTGGAATCAAGATTGTCGGGAGAAATATCAATAACCTCAGATATGCAGATGACAGCATCTTTATGGCAGAAAGTGGAGAAGAACTAAAGAGCCTCTTGATGAAAGTGAAAGAGAAGAGTGAAAAGGCTGGCTTAAAACTCAACATTCAAAAAAATAAGATCATGGCATCCAGGCCCATCACTTCAAGGCAAATAGATGGGGAAACAATGGAAACAGTGACAGACTTTATTTTCCTGGGCTCCAAAATCACTGCAGATGGTGACTGCAGCCATGAAATTAAAAGACCCTTGCTCCTTGGAATAAAAGCTATGACCAACCTAGACAGCATATTAAAAAGCAGAGACATTACTTTGCTGACAAAGGTCCATCTAGTTAAAGCTATGGTTTTTCCAGTAGTCATGTATGGATGTGAGAGTTGGACCATAAAGAAAGGTGAGAGGCAACAAATTGATGTTTTTGAACTGTGGTATTGGAGAAGGCTCTTGAGAGTCCCTTGGACTGCAAGACCAAACCAGTCAATCCTAAAGGATTTCAGTCCTGAATATTCATTAGAAGGACTGATGCTGAAACTGAAACTCCAATACTTTGGCCACCTGATGTGAAGAACTAATTCATTAGGAAAGACCCTGATTCTGGGAAATATTGAAGGCAGGATAAGGGGACGACAGGGTATGAGATGGTTGGAGGCACCACCAACTTGATGGACATGAATTTGAGCCAGCTCCTGGAGTTGGTGACGGACAGGGGGGCCTGGCATGCTGCAGTCCATGGGGATTGCAAAGAGCGGACACGATTGAGCAACTTAACTGACTTTAAAATCGTTGTCTGCTAATTCAAACATTTTAGTTATCTTGGGGTAAGTCATAATTAACTGTCTTTTCTCCTGAGTATGGATTACATATTTTTCTTTTCTATATGCCTAAAAATTTTGGAAAGCATCCCAGACATTGTGAATGATATGTTGAAAGGACTGGGTTCTTATGTTCCTCCAAAGAATATTGATTTTTGTTTGTCTTTCTAGGCACTTAATTTGGCTGAACCTCAAGCTCCAAAATCTCAGTTATGTAACATTCAGTTGAAATCTTACCTGGACTGCTTGGAGTCTACTCCATTAGTGCATACCTTAGGTATCAGCCAAGAATTTAGATAAAGTTTATACATAGAGTTTAGGCTTCCCTCTCTAGGAACTTCTCCTATCTGTGGTTTCTCTCCTCACTTTCTAACTTTAATGATTGCCCTGAATTCTGTCTTCTGTTTGTTCAAACCAGTAAGATTACAAGGTTTTTGTCTATCTGTTACCCACCCCACATGGTATAAATGGGGGCCTGTCCTCAGGCCAAAAGATACTAAAGAGGGAGAAAAATTTATTCGGTACCATTCCCTTCCTTCTTTCTCCAGTATCTGCCTGCTTTGTGTACTTTCCAATACCTAAAAGTAATTTTTATTTTAACCAGAATTTATAGTTGTTATTTTAGGGGAGATTGGTCCAATAGAAGTTGTAAATTACTGAGAAAGAAGAGAGATCAAACATAGAAATGAAAGCATGATCAAGGTGGGTAGTCAGAGGGCTATTGCAATGGTACATGCTGGAAATGGAAAGGGCCTGAACCAGGATGGAGGCAGTAAAATACTGGGGAAAGAAGGACTCTTGGGACCTTGAAAACGCTACTGGAATTGTATCACATGATCATTTCAACCATAAGAGTTCCATTAAATAATAAGTTGTTAAATCCACACATGTACTTCTTCACCCCCTTCAAAAGGAAAAAAATAAATAACCCTAAACCTTGGCCTCCATGTGTCTGGAAAAGGGAAGGCATAGCTGAAAGGCAAAGAACCAAAGAAGAAAATTCTTAGCCTTTAAACTCCTAAGAACATAGGTCCTAGACCTTTAAAGAAAAGTTTATGTATTATTTCAGGGCAATTATATACAAAGGATATGAGAGAGCATTTGTCAAAAAATGGCTTTAAGGTTTGTGCTTTGGATATTAGAATAAGAAAGACATTATTAACAGATTGAAGACAGGAGAAGGGGACGACAGAGGATGAGATGGTTGGATGGTATCACTGACTCGACGGACGTGAGTCTGCGCAAGCTCCAGGAGTTGGTGACGGACAGGGAGGCCGGGCGTGCTGCAGTCCGTGGAGTCTCAAAGAGTCGGTCATAACTGAGCGAGTGAACTGAACTGAACTAGGGGATCAAATACAGTTGCCAGTTTGGGGTTGGGGATGAGACAGAACCCAGAGAGAGGAGATCAGGATGTTTAGACATGTGCGGTTAGAGAAGCCCGCAGACTGATATTCAGGAAGGAGCTGCCCATGTGCCCCAGGAATTCCATAGATCTTACTGAGGTCACTTTGGGGATTATCCACACGTTGGTGATCACAGGAGCCACAGATCGAGAAAAAAATCAACAAGAAAATATGTGGAAGAAGAGGGAAAAAAATAGATGAAGAGTGAAACTTTCGGAAAAACAACACTGAGGGGCTGAAACCAGTAAAAGAACAATTAGAGAGGAAGAGAGCCAGAATGATGGAATGAGGCAGCCAAGGAAGGAGTTCAAGGTCAGAGAGTTTTGAGACATACAAGTGGGTAAGAACTGAAAAGCAGCTCCAGCAGAAGGATGGGCAGACACAAAAGGCAAGGGCTTGCTTCCGAAGCAAAGTGTCTGCAGGAGTGGCAGGCATTCAACATCAACAGACGCTGAAGTACTAATTAGGTGAGCTGTAAGAAGAGATGAGTGAACAAGGTGGGCAGGGACCAGGGTTTTTCACTCTGTAATATGACCTAGACCATCAAAGGATTTTGAATAAAGGAGCTTTGCAATTATATTAATTGTTTAGAGAGATTGCTGTGACACAGGTTAAATCTGGAGGTGGACAGGGACGAAACCAGAGACTGGGGACTAGTAAGGAGGCCACTGCAAGAGTCCAGGGCAAATATATTGAGGTCCAGTCAAGACAGAAGCAATCAGGAGGTCAGAGATTGATGGATATTCAAAGGGTTTCTGTTATTTTATTTTGAAAAGGAGAATAGAAGATGGAAGAATGGAGAGGTGGTGGTGATTGTGGTGGTGGTGGTGGTGGTGGTGACAGTGATTGTGGTGATGATGGTGGTGGTCATAGTGGTCATGATGGTGATGGTGTTGGTGACAGTGATTGTGGTGGTGATGGTGGTGGTGGTGGTGATGGTGGCAGTGGTGGTGGTCATGATGGTGATGGTGTTGGTGACAGTGATTGTGGTGATGATGGTGGTGGTCATGGTGGTCCTGATGGTGATGGTGTTGGTGACAGTGATTGTGGTGATGATGGTGGTGGTCATGCTGGTCCTGATGGTGATGGTTTTGGTGACAGTGATTGTGGTGATGATGGTGGTGGTCATGGTGGTCATGATGGTGATGGTGTTGGTGACAGTGATTGTGGTGATGATGGTGGTGGTCATGGTGGTCATGATGGTGATGGTGTTGGTGACAGTGATTGTGGTGATGATGGTGGTGGTGGTGGTCATGGTGGTCATGATGGTGATGGTGTTGGTGACAGTGATTGTGGTGGTGCCACCCTGATGGTGGTAATATAACAGCAACAAGTATTTATAGAGTGCATACTAAATCCCAGGCACTGTTCCAAGTGAAAGTACACTGAGCTTGCAACTCACTGGCTTTAGGGAGAAACCAGAAGTTAGGGGACTGGGAATGGAGCACTGCAGACTGACCTGCCAGTGTATGGTTTGGGCAGCTGGTTGTACCATTTTACCAAGTGCAATGACCCTGGCAGAGTTGTAAGCAGGCTCCTTATGGAGGTTGGTGTATAAGAGGTGTTGCTCTGTGTTCTCTGTCAAATTCAGGACCTTGAAGGGAAGCAGAGAGAATTTGAGTTTGTCGGCCTGACCCCTGACACGGAGTTCCTTGGGACCATCATGATTTGTATCCCAAACTTGTTCAAGGAGAGCGCCCCCTATGTATGCCAAGTGAAAACGCTGCCAGGTAAGTTCAGCTGAAGCCAGAGGGAGGTGGGACTGCTGAATTCAAACCTTGACTCTGTGCTTTCCTCCTGACTACCCAGGTGAGGCTTGAAAGTGCTCTAAACACACACACACACACATACACACACAAACACACACAGAAGGATTACCAGTGTATTATTAAAGTCAATCTTTGTTTATCCATAAATGAGTTAGCTGGTGGGTTATCATAGCAAATGTTTAATCTCCACCCTCCAGCCTATGTCTGAATTTCCTCTCTCTGGCAAACTGCATGTGTATCCTGGCAAAGCAAATTCAACTTGATATTAACTCAAGTGAGACATCCTGGGAAATAATCTGCTGATGGGAGAGCAGAAAAGATAAAAAGATCCCTCAATACCTTCCCGGGTCAAATAAAAATAAGTGATTATAATAGCATTTCTGCAGTACCAGCCAGGGACCAGACACTACAAAACACAATTCTCATGAGCTATCTATGAAGCACCTTGGTTCCGCTGAAAAACCTGAGGTACAGAGTGGTTAAGTAACTTGCCCAAAATTGCATTGGTGGTGACAGACAGAACGAGGCCTAATTCCAGGGAAGACACTCTCATCACTATGCTTCTATAGAAATCATTTTGAGTCACTGGCTCAAGGAGGTGGTGTCCCATGTTCCTTTCCTCTAGCACATTGAAACTCAACTCTCATTGTAAGCATCATGATATTTTTACTTGTGTTTATTTTCATAGAGATAGAAATGTAATGCTGTAAGTTTAGAGGATGAAAGTGATAGCATTGGATTGGATGGATTTGGAAAACAGTTTCCACCCTAGTCTTCATTTTAGATTAATGATGTCAGTAGGTGATTTCTGTTCTAATGAACAGAGGTCAGGCAACTTAGAGGCTGGACCCAAGGGCATAACTGCAGCTTGGTAGAATCATCATCAGTTAGGTTCTGGTCCTCAGCTTTGTTCAGAAATTCAGCTCAATGGTTTCTCCAAGAGCCCGTAAGAGACTGACTTCTCTACCCGAGTCCCAGTACTTTAGTTTTCATGGGAAAATATGCATGGTGGACCAGCCAGCACTGGCCACTTGAACAGGGCGTGCCCTTCCTGGGGAAAGGGCCAAACGAAGACCGGAATAGAACTTGGCAGTGGAAGAACTAGAAAAAAGAAACCAACGTCATAGGCAGTGAGCTAGGAGTGTATATGTGATTTGTGACCCTCTCCTCAGACCCTACTGGATGAATCTCCTCCATTCCCAGCTTACTCCGTCCCCTTGCTTATTGACAACTTGCAGACCACTCCACCCGTATCCTTCTGATCTACCCATATCCTACATGATCTAACTCATGATATCATTTTTTTCTAAGACTGTAGCTGCTTTTATATGAATCATACTTTTTAGTGACCATTTCTTGGTGACATATAGAAGGTGCCTTATCCTTTATAATCAAGAATATTAATAAGAAGTCCTACCATTTATTAAGTATGTACTCTAGTGCCAAACACTGTGAAAAATGCTTTGCATATATTATCCCATTGAATCCTTACAACAATCAGGCAAGTTGGGTAACCTCATCCCCATTTTACAGAGGAGGAACTCTGGCTCTGAGAGCTTAAGCAACTGGCCCATAAACAACACAGTTGATCGGTGAACCTAATTAGGTTCATCTGATTTTGAAGACTGGGCTCTAATCACCACTCTGCAAGTTCGTTTAGAGCCAGTCCCCTCTACTGGACATTTATTTCTATTACTTCTACTTCAGGATGAAACGTCCTGCCCTTGACCCTGTATCCAGGAGTCTGTCTTACCCCAGAGCCCAGGACCCCTCCTTTATCTACATCTCTGAATGTCTTGGATCATCATGCCAGCATCCTGATGCTGGAAAGGGGTCTAGGGCTCGGCTTACCCCATATCCTAATGTAACAGACAAGAAAACAAAGGTATCATTGTGTCTTGGCTGTGAGGATGAGCTTTAGAGTTATACATGTCCACCCTGGCTGCGCCGCTGAGTAGCTGGTTGACCTAGTCACACAAGTCACTTAACCTCTCAGACTCAGCTTCACTATTTGTAAGGAGGGAGCATACATAGCCCTCTGTTTTGTAGGATAACATTGGTAGAACACTCTACACAGTGCTTGACGTGTATTAAGAGTTCAGTCATCGCTGGCTACTGTTATTATTAATAGTAAATCTTAGACCAGAGAGGGTCACGCAGAAGAACACATCAGTGACTGGACCAGACCTCTAATACCCCACTTTCCAGTGCTGTTTCTGTCATGTCTTCCTACTTCCCCGTGAGTGAGACGGCAGAAATGTTCCAAGTCCCTGTCCTGGGACAGAGAGCTGCAGTTTTCCAGCCACGTTAGGTATGTCGTGTAGAAACATGTGGCTCCTGTCCTCTCCCCAGTAGAGTGATGAGCCTATCACGGGACAGGGGACAGGGTATCGCTCAAGTGGGAAGCTACCCAGAGAGGCCCAAGCCACGGGGACTTGGGAAGGAGGGAGGAGAGGCCTGGAAGTAAAGGCTCCAGCAATTCCCAGTCATTGCCAAGGTGACTGGCAACTGACGACCACCCAAGCTGAAGCCACACAGGGCCCAGGAACCAAAGGAGGGTGACTTGGAAAGTCAAGACCGCTGGGTAATCCAAATCATCAGCTTTCTGTTGGTTTGTTTTGGCTGTGCTGTGTCCTTGTTGCAGAGCACGGGCTTTCTTTAATTGCGGCACAGTGCTCTAGTTGCCCAGCAGCATGTGGGAGCTGAGTTTTCCAACCAGGGATCAAACCAGCATTCCCTGTATTGGAGATGGCTTCTCAACCACTAGACCACCAAGGAAGTCCCAAATCACCAGTTTTAACAAAAACCCCAGCTACCTCTTATTTACCAAGCTACTTTCCTGTCCCACCTGGGTTGGTGACAGGAAGTGTGTCATGCCAAGAACTGGCTGCAGGCACCCATCCCAAAGATACAGGACTATAGGGAGGAGGCTCAGCACTAAAGCCCTTAGCTGTCCTCTCCTTCTCCTTTAGAAAGGGTGATGCCTCCCAGGCTCCCTCCTGAGTGAGGTCTTCCCAATACACAGCTCAGACCTTGACTGAGACGTGGGCAAGTCAGGCCCCTCTCATTGTCCATCTCCCCTCCCTTTGCCTCTTTCCCAAGCCCCCACCAGGAAGGCAGGACTTCCCTTAGACCCAGACAAGAGGGGCCCTTATAAGGTCTTGCTCCAGCCCTGCCCTGGTCATGGCCCTCCCCACAAGATGAAGGGTCCTTAGGTCCAAGTGGGCAGATCCCCATGGAATCTGTGAGCCCCAAATTTCCTGTATCAATGGCCGGAGCCTGTGTCCAGTCTCGGCAGGTCTCCTCCTTGGGTCTTTCTTCCAGAGGGCAAGCCCTCAGTCCAAAGGGTGGCCAAAGCATGCGTATTGTAAGGGCCATGGATGAACTTGACCATGAGCCCATATCCTTGTGCATGATGCCCCTGACAGTGTGGGTTGGAGCCAAGCTGGGCTTGCAGGAACTCCCCCCTGCACTTCTGTCTTTCTACTCTGCACCCCGAGGTATCCAAGAAGCAAGCTTCAAGCCTTCCAGGTTGTTATGAAAAGTATATTTGTCAAGAAGGGGGCACAGAACATATTTAACTTAACAATGTAAAAACGCGATTTATAAATTCTTAATATTTAGACGTGTGGTGTGTGGCCCTCCATTTGTGCCTTTGCCCGGCCCCGTAAGTCTCGGGGGTAGAAGAGGCCTTCCCAAGCCGTCAGGTCACCAAGAGGTGGGGTTGGGGGACGAGGCCCGAGTTGCCAGCACCCACACTGACAGCCTCAGCCTTCCGGCTTTGCCTCTTTTTGAGCCAGATCGGACATGGACCTACTCCTTCTCCAGCGCCTTCCTGTTCTCCATGGGCTTCCTGGTCGCAGGGCTCTGCTATCTGAGCTACAGATACATCACCAAGCCACCTCCACCTCCCAGCTCCCTGGTGAGCGGGGCCCTGGGGAGGGCATGGGCCCAGGGACCCCCAACTCTCCCTTGCTTCTCCTGCCAACCTAGAGACATGGCTGGCAGCCCCTGGGGTGGACCGATGAGAGCTAGAGGCTCGGAAAGAGAAGGCATGGAACAGAAAAGCCATGTGGTTTTCAAGGGGGCACATGCCCTGTCTGAATGGGCAGCCCAGGCAGGCTCTGCCACCTGGGATCCCGGGCCCAGTGTGGCCGCATCTTTGCGTTTTTTTCAGAAGTCAGAATTTCAGATGGTAATGTGAACTCTCCCATGTTTCAAGTCTTGGCAACTAATTTTTCTAAATTAAGCCTTAACAAACCACACATGTCATATCAGCAGCCCGAGTCTAGGGCATCTCTGCCTGCTGCGGAGCCTGGATAGTCTGGGGCTGGAGGAGTTGGCCCATCGGCCCCTCCAAGTCAAAGCCCATCTGAGCCATTTCCTGTAGACTCTCCTGGCCTCCGCTTTCCCCCACCCTTCCCCTCCTTTCTCCCTCCATGAGACCCTTTGGGAGCTGAAGAGCAGTTGAAGCACCACCTGGGGAGCATCACCCAAGGTCATCCCAAATCTGAGCCAACCCCTTCCAGAATACCCACCTCCTGGGGAAATCACAGCATGTCTCACCGCTCTCCCTGGCCAAGCCAGACTCTGGAAGTGGGCCTCAGCTAACGGGGCCAGAGCCCTGTTCCTTCACAGAGGCTCCAGCACTTAGAGGAATCCCTGGGAAAGGAGGCAGGGCTTATGGATCTTGGAAAAGCCCTCAGACAGTCTACCCTTGCCCTCGCTCCCACCCCGGGGGAGGACTGCAGTGCCGGCAGCATCCTCCGGGCGGGGGGGCGGGGGGGGGTGGGTAGCTGAGAAGGCACTCTAATGGGCGTGCTGTTCTCCCTGCCTAGGATGTCCAGCATATCCTGCCCTTCCAGCCTCTGCGGTTCATCCAGGAGCACACCCTGATCCCCATCTTCGACCTCAGCAGCTCTGGCGGTCTGGCCCAGCCTGTCCAGTACTCCGAAGTCAAGTTCTCCGACCCCACGGAGACCCCGGGACCCCCACCGTGGCATGGCCTGCCTGAGATTGCCTACCTCGGGCAGCCAGACCTCCCTGTCCTCCGGCCCTCCGGAGGACCACCTCACCAGGGACTCCCCACACCGTCCTATGCCCCCCAGGCTGCACCCGAGGGCAGGCCCCCGTCCTACGCACCTCAGGTAACCCTGGAAGGTAAACCCCCCTCCTACACCCCACAGGCTGTCTCAGAGGCCCGGCTTCCTTCCTACACCCTGCGGGCCACTCCGGACAGCTGGCCTCCTTCCTACGGGATATGCGGGGAAGGGTCTGGGAGAGACTCCCCACCTGTGACACGCGCTGGTCCCAAACACCTCGGAACTAAGGGGCAGCTCCAGAAAGAGGCGCCAGGTGGCAGCTGCAGCCCAGGTGGCCTTTCGCTACAGGAGGTGACCCCCTTGGCCACGGAGGACCCCCAAGAAGCAAAATCCTTCCACCAGCATCTAGGGGTTCACACAGACTCAGACTCTGACTCTGATTCCATCGGCCAAAGGGAGCCAGGAACACGAAGCTCCCTAAGGCGCCAGCTGCCCCTCCTTTCCTCTGTCCAGATCGGGGGCCACCCCGGGGCCCTCTCTTTGCAGACTCCGTCCCTCCCGTGTTCCCCCGTGGACGAGGGTCCAAGTCGCTGGGGCCTGCTGGAGTCCCTCGTGTGTCCCAGTGACGAGGATCCGGCGTCCAAGACGGAGGCCGAGAGCCCAGGCCTTCAGGCCCCAGACCTGCAGTCGTCCACGGAGCTGGACTCGCTGTTCCGAGGCCTGGCCCTGACCGTGCAGTGGGAGTCCTGAGCGGAGAGCGGGGCAGGCCTGGGGCTTCCTCCTGTCCCCACCAGCCCCCCGCTCACATCCTTGGCCGTCACTCCCGCAACTAGGGACGCTTCACGCTCTGCAGCCGGCCCCAGGTGGGTGCCCTTGAGGAGCCCGCAGAGGAGGAGGCCGGACCCTCGCCTCGGCTGTGATCCCTTTGGAGCAAAATAGACGTGAGAAGAGCTCCAGCCAGAGTTTCAGAGGTGTACCATGTGCAAACGAGCTTGAGCACGCCGAGCTCTGCAGGTCAGGACACAGAGAGAGGGGGTTGATGCGAGGAGACCTCCCAGAGATCCAGGGCCCCGGCTCCTAACACACTGGATACAGAGTTCTCCTGGAGCCTACCCCTCTTCACTCCTTTCCTGGCCAGTTTCATAATCTGGTTCAGCAGACTGAGGTCTCTGCCTCCTCTATGATTCCCCGAAGAAGGAAAACAGAAGCCTGAAAAGGGACGCCTCCTAGCAGACTGGGCAGAACCAGAACAACCTGCGAGATGGCAAGACTCCAGGGCCGGGTGCGGCTCAGCCCCAACCAGGGTTACTGCCTGAAACTGCACTGTTTCAACTTCCATCTTCTACTGGAGGCTGGACCCCAAGTGAAATGCAGGTCCAGCAGGGAGGGAGAACACAGAAACCCTCTTTGTCAGCAGGAGTTTCAGACCCTATCCTGGGAGCGGGGTTTGAGAGAAACATGGGGCCGCGGGGTGCCTGAAGGAAACACAGCTAAAAACTGTACTTACTTCACAACTTTGGAAACTCAGCCTTGGGTTCAGTCCACCTGGGTTCCAATTCCAGCCTTAATACTTCCTAACCATGTGACTACAAGCAAATGAATCACTGTTTGAAATCTCAGTTTCCTCATCTGTATAATGCGGATAGTCACACCTACTGCATGGGATTGTGGTGAGGCTGAGATTAAATTATGTCTGTAAAGTGTTTCACAGCGCCTGGCACATGGGCCATGTCCAATAAACTATTAGCTGTCTCCTATTGTGATTTTTTTTTTACCCCCAATTCAAGTTGATTTTGGATCAGGCATTTTCTCAGATTATCTTGATTTCCTCAGAATTGTTCCAGGCTAAGCCAGAGGGTCTGGACTGCCTAGGAGGAGGTCAGGGAAGGGACTGCAGGAAACAGGGTCCCAGAGACACATGGAACCCCCTCCTTGAGCTCTTAGGTGGAAGCTATTTTGGGGGTGGCAGCAGCCTTCTCAGAGGACCTGTCTCCCCAGCACCCCCCACCCCCAGAGGCAGGGCAGGGCTACCCCACCGTTCTGCCCCTGCCTCTGCTCCTCCGTAAAAGCAGGTTCTCATCTGAGCTTTCAGCATGCAGTCACATCCTTTGTATCACTGCATCTCCTGTGGTCCTTGTGATGAGGAAACAGAGGCCCAAGGAGAAGAAGGGGGCTTCCCCCACTGTGCCCCCGCTGAGGCCACGACACAGAGTTTAAAATTAGTGCTTTTTCTAAAAAAAAAAAAAAAATTTGTATGCAGACCATTATTTTAAATTCTTTATTGAATTTGTTATAATATTGCTTTGGTTTTATGTTTTGGTGTTTTGGCAGCGAGGCATGTGGGATCTGAGCTCCCTGGACAGGGACTGGACCCACACCCCCTGCATTGAACGGGGAAGTCTTAACCACTGGACCCCCAGCTCTAGTATGTTTTGTCTTCATCAAGAGAAGGAACTTCCCACAGCAGTTTGGATTCGTGCCGGATGAGACTCCAGGGACATAAGGAGGGGAGGGCCCCAATGGGGACCCTGAGGGGCCAGAGCCCCCATCCCCCTCTGAACATCCCAAAGCCCTGTCTGAACATAGCGGAGCAACAGGGTCAAAGTGCAGCTGCCCTGGTGAGACACTTCCTGGGTGGGCAATGCCCTCCCTTCACTGTACCCAGCATGTCTCCCCTCCTATTCCTCACCCCTCCCCTCCCTGCAAGACAGCGCCAGGCAGCACAGTCCTTATCTGTAATTAATATTTAACATCTCTTCAGGGTCACTGGTCTAGACCCAGTATCTCCCTGGTGGAGGGTGGCTGGCCCATTCTCCTCCCGGCAGCTGCGACACTGGCCCTGATGATTGCTCTCTGCCCCCACACTGCAAACAAGCCTGCTTCCTGTCACTCGGGGTGAACTTGGCCAAAGGTGAACTGTCTCACCTGGTTTAGTCATGAAAACCAACTTACGAGCTGGACTCTTCTCACCAGGTGAGTGGGTCAGGGCGTCAGAGACTTTTTAATTAAAAGCTGTAAACATCTCTTCCACTTCACAAGGCCACAAAGCTCTCTAAGCTCCCTGGGGTAACTGTTGTTCCTACAGTCCATGGGTCTCTGAGCCCCGCGACCCTCCTCAGCCTGGCCCCGCGTCCACTAGGCTTCACCCCCTCAGGTCTCCGGCCTGTCAGGCAGGAAACTCAGGCCACAGAAACAGCTGGAACGAGCCAGGGGCAGAGCGGCCGAGGCCCCGGAGCCCGGCTGGGCGCTGGCATTCCTGCGTGCCGGAGACCTTGAGCTCGCTGCAGCCTGGCCCCACCCAGTCCAGAGAAGGGTGCGTCTGGCGTCCCCAGCCTCCAGGTCGGGCAGAGCCCAGCCCGAGAGCAAATGAGTAAGACTGCAGCAGAGCCGGTCAAGGCGTAGGGGGAGGAGGCGGGACTCAGCCTCGCTGTCGGAAGCTCCTTGCTCTGCCACTAACCTGCCGTGATAGGCAGCATCACGGATATTCTGCAAAGGAGGAAAATGTGGCTCAGACGGTTTAGGTGAGGTTTCCCAAACTTGCCTCACCATGACAAGCCCTTGAGAAGCTTACAAAAAATACATCTTCCTCAGCCCCAGCCCAGACCTGCTGGATCCACAGCTCCTAGGGAATCAGGCTTTTAATAAAGTCCTTTAGTGATTCCTCTTAGGCAAGTGGAAGAACCCATGCTACTATATCAATACCCTTCCTATTCATTGGTCTCAAATATCCCCCTAGAGCCAGCCCCATCTAACCCCCTGGATGGGCGTGGGGAGCTGAAAGTAGGGGGGCGGTATTTCAGTCTGAGATATCTGAAGACGCCCGGCCTCCCAAACCCCCGGCCGAGGAACGCGCGGGGTTTGCCTGAGTTTCCACCGAGAGAACAGGCCCACGGGGGATGAGGGCTCCTCCAGGGTCCCACAGGGCGAGGCTGGATCCCTCTGTGCCCCTCCCCAGTGTGAGTGTCAGCCTGGACAGAGGGACACAGCTCTGAGACCCCAGCCCCGTCCCCTACCCTCCCTCCCGCACCCCCACTCGGCCCTTCAGTTGCTTGAGCCAGTTTTCCCTTCCCACTCTAATGAGGAAGGGGCATGAGGAAGACGCGTTTTGACCTGTTAGTGAGAGACGAACTGTAACCGGAAGTAACTTAAGTGTGAGAGCAACAGAGCAGGGAAGGGAGACGGACGCAGGAGAAAGGAGGCGCCGGGAGAAGGTTCTGGGCCAGACAGTTCTCCCCTTGGCCACCAGGGGGAACCATCAGCCGAAGACAGTTCGGTTGCTGTCTCAGAAAACCTTGGGGCAGTTCAGGGTGGCCGGTGGGTAAAATAGGAGGTGGGAGAGGGGTTCAGGATGGGGGACACATGTACACCCATGGCTGATTCATGTGAATGTATGGCAAAAACCACTACAGTATTGTAAAGTAATTAGCCTCCAATTAAAATGAATAAATTAATTTACCAAAAAAAATTGGGTTCAGATGAGAATCCTTAATATTCATAAATCCAAAGAAGGCAATGAAAAGGAAAAGGAAGGGGAGAAAGAATGAAATATTTAAGGAGTACTACTCATGGGTTAGAACTTCCCAGAGGGCAAGGGTTTCCCCAGTGCTTCAGAGGTAAAGAATCCGCTTGCCGAGCAAGAGATACAAGTTCAATCCCTGGGTCTGGAAGACCTTCTGGAGAAGGAAATCCACTCCAGTATTATTGCCTGGGAAATCCCATGGACAGAGGAGCCTGGCAGGCTACAATCCATGGGGCCACAAAGAGTCAGACACAACTTAGCTATTAAACGACAACAATTTCTTGCATTTTAACCTGATTTGAATCTCATAAACATTCTTCAAGACAGGTTCTCATTCATTCATTTTTAACAAGCATATATCAAAGACCTAGTTGTATGCCAGCACTGTTCTTGGGGCTGGGGATACAGTGAACAAGACAGGCAGGTAATTCCCTGTTGTCTCAGAGCTTGCATACAATTTGCACATAAAGAAGCAGCCCAGAAAGGATGATTGGAAGGACTGACTGATGCTGATGCTGAAGCTCCAAAACTTTGGCCACCTGATGCCAAGAACTGACTCATTAGAAAAGACCCTGATGCTGGGAAAGGTTGAAGGCGGGAGGAGAAGGGGACGACAGAGGATGAGAGAGTTGGATGGCATCACTGACTCGATAGACATGAATTTGAGCAAACTTCAGGAGCTGGTGATGGACAGGGAAGCCTGGGCATGCTGCAGTCCATGGGGTCGCAATCAGTCGGACACAACTGTGTGACTGAACTGAACTGAAACTGATCATATAGTATTTGTCTGTCTCTTTCTGACTTATTTCACTTAGCATAACATCCTCCTAGTCCATCCATGTTGCTGCATATGGAAAAACATCATTCTTTGTTATTGCATTGTTTATACTTACCACATATTCTTTATCCATTCATCTTTCATTGGACACTTAGGTTGCTCCCATATCTTGGCAACTGTAAATAATGCTGCTATGAACATTGATGTGCATGCATATTTTTAATTAATCTTTTCATTTTTAAGATATGTAGCCAGGAGTAGAATAGCTGGATCATGTAGTAGTTCTATTTAATTTTTTTGAGAAACTTTCATACTGTTTTCCATAGGGGCTGCACCAATTTATATTCCTGTGAGAAATATATGAGTTCCCTTTTAGGAGACTGAGATTTTGGCTGAAGCTCTCGCTTGTATATTCTGTCTGTCTGTCTGTCTGTCTGTCTCTCTCTCCCCCGCCCGAGTAGTCCCCAGGGCCTAGGAAGAAAGACAGACTCAGTGTTGCTGGGCCCCTGAGGCCCCAGGAAGAGGCCAGGAGGGGAGCTGTGTCTCTGGAGTGGAGCCAGCACCGCCTTCCACAAACCTGCTCATTCCCTGAGACTGGCTCAGGAGCCCCCTCCTGATCACCTCCTATAGTAATTGCCTGTGTCCCCATCTAGATGAGACATATCCTAAAGACCAGCATCTTATCTCTCCCCTCTACATCCCCAGTGCCCTGCAGGCCTAGGTGTGAATGTCCGTGAGGGGAGAGGATTGAGACGGGGAGGAGGAGCAAAGGTCCAGAAGAAACCTCCCCTGTGGCCTCTCCGGAAGCCTGGGAACTTTGGATGGTGAAGGAGGAAATGACGTGCCCTCCTCTGCTGCTGGTACCACATCCCCCACACTGCCCGCACACCCTCACCCCACCCCATGCACACCATCGCACACCCTCACACCCTCACACTCAGCCCACACTCTCACACATTCCACCACACCTCATCCCCTCACACACAGCCCACACACACAATCTCACACACATTCCCCACACACCTCATACGCTCAGACACACCCCACACACTCTTACACAGATTCCAGACACACCTCATCCCCTCACACACAGCCCATACACAATCGTACACACATTCCACACATACCTCATGCCCTCACACACAGCCCACACATTCACACACATTCCACACACCTCACACCCTCACACACACACCACACACTCACACACATTCCACACACACCTCATCCCCTCACACCCAGCCCACACACTCTCACACACACCCTCATACCCTCACTCACAGCCCACACACCAACCCACAAA